AAGACAATGGGAAAAATGTCTCCAGGGCACCCTCTCTCATCACAAGCCCAGTGCCTAGGAGGAAAAAATTGTTTCGTGGGCTGGGCTCAGTCCCTTGCTGCTTTGTGCCGTCTTGAAACTTGGTGCCGTGTCCCAGCTGTGACCAACATATAAAGGGGCCAGCATATAGCTCAGGCTGTTGCTTCAGAGAATGCAAGCCCCAAGCCTTGGTGGCTTACGAGTGATGTTGGCCCTGCAGGTGCACAAAAGTCAGGAATTGAGGTTGGGGAACCTCTGCCTAGATTCCAGAGGATATATAAAAATGTCTGGATGTCCAGGCAGAAGTTTGCTGCTAGGGCAGTATGGAAAAGAAATGTGGGGCTCACATTTCCCCACTGGGGCATTACCTAGTGAAGCTGTGAGAAGAGGGCCACTGTCATCCAGACCCCAGAATGGTAGATAAACCAACAGCTTGACCGTGTGCCTGGAAAAGCCACACTCAACACTAGCCATGAAGGCAGCCTGGAGAGGGGCTGTACCATGAAAAGCCACAGGCGGGGAACTGCCCAAAGCCATGGGAGCCCGCCTGTTGCATCAGTGTGACCTGGATGTGAGACATGGAGTTAAAGGAGATCATTTTGGAACTTTAAGGTTTAATGACTGTCCTATTGGATTTTGGACTTGCATGGGACCTGTGGTCCCTTGGTTTTGGTCCATTTCTCCCGTTTGGAATGGGTGTATTTACCCAATACCTGTATCCCATTGTATGTAGGAAGTAACTAACTTGCTTTTGATTTTACAGACTCATAGGTGGAAGGGACTTGCCTTGTCTTAGATGAAACTCTGGACTTGGACTTTTGAGTTAATGCTGGAATGAGTTAAGACTTTAGGGGACTGTTGGAAGGGCATGATTATGATTTGAAATGTAAGGACATGAGATTTGGGAGGTGCCAGGGGTGGAATGATATGATTTGGCTGTGTCCCCATCCAAACCTCATCTTGAATTGTAGTTCCCGTAATCCCCATGTGTTGTGGAAGGGGCCCAGTGGGAGGTAACTGAATCATGGGTGAGGTTACCCTCATGCTGTTCTCATGGTACTGAGTGAGTTCTCATGAGATCTGATGGTTTTATAAGAGGCTTCCCCCATCTTCGCTCTCATTCTTTTCCTTCCTGCTGCCATGTGAAAAAGGATGCATTTGCTTCCCCTTCTGTCATAATTTTAAGTTTCCTGAGGCCTCCCAGCCCTGTGAAACTGAGTCAATTAAACCTCTTTCCTTTATATATTACCCAGCCTCAGGTATGTCTTCATTAGCAGCTGAGAATGGACTAATATATTTAGCTTTCTTGTAATTCAAATGATAAAGGACAAGTACAGAATTTTTTAAAAGGATATACAACAAAAGACGACTGCAAAAGGAACATCAAGAAGTGAATGGGAATTAAAAGGACTTAAAATTATATGAATAACCAGTTTTAATTAACACCAAATAATGAAACAGTATCAAGATAGGTGAAGCCTCAGGCTGGGCGCTGTAGCTCATGACTATAATCCCAGCACTTTGGGAGGCTGAGGTAGGAGGATCACCTGAGGTCAGGAGTTTGAGACCAGCTTGGACAACATGGTGAAACTCCGTCTCTACTAAAAGCACACACACAAAAAATTAGCTGGGTGTGGTGGTGTGCGCCTGTAGTCCCAGCTACTCAGGAGGGTGAGGCAGGAGAATTGCTTGAGTCCAGGAGGCAGAGGCTGCAGTGAGCCAAGAACACACCCCTGCACTCCAGCCTGGGCAATAGAGCAAGACTCCATCTTAAGAAAAAAAACCAAAAGATAGGCAAAGCTTCTAACGCTATCTTACAGAATTCTGTTTAGCCCTAATCTGTTCGATATTTATTCAAATTAAGAATAAAGCTATAACAAGAACACTTGGCCAGGTGTGGTGGCTCATACTTGTAATCCCAACACTTTGGAAGACTGAGGTGGGAGGATCACTTGAGCACAGGAGTGGGCAATATAGTGAGACCCCCATCTCTGTAAAAAATAACAATAAAAGAAAATAAAAGGATCAACACAATAAAAAGATGGGCTATATTTAACAGCAAAAATTTCATAAGGATAAATATTAGGCTCAAAAGAATCAAACATAGAAATAAAGATGAGGAAATCAGCCTAACAGCATTTTATACAATAGCCAACACATTTCAAGCACTTCATGCATTGTTCAAAGAAACTCACAAATACTGATTTATGCAACAAGTCATCTAACGCACACCTACTACATGCCACTCTCAAGCATCACAGTTTATATCAGTGAAAAGACACGAGCTTATATTTTAGTGGCAGAAGGCAAACAAAACTCAAAACGAAAAGTAACTAGTACAGTAAATCCAATAGGTAAAAATAAAGAAGAAAAGTTGACAGGAAGCCTATGTATACTGTGATTATTAATTAGGATGGTCAGAAAAGGCCTCAGAGAGGCAGAGTCTTGAGCAGACCTGGAAGAGGCGAGGTAATAAACCTACAGATATCTACAGGAAGACTCTTCTAGGCAGTATGCACAAAGCTTTTTAGGTATTGTATAGTGTGCCTGACATGTGTGAGCAACACCGAGAAAGGCAAAGAGGCTGGATTAGAGTAAACAGAAACAGGAGACCAAGTCTGATAGGTAACAGGTTGGGGAAAGATAGAGATAATGAAAAGCCATGCAAGACAGGACATTAACAGGAAGGACTCTGGCTCTTACTCTGAGTGACATGGGAAGCGACTGCAGAGTTTTGAGCAGACGTGGAATGATCTGACTTACGTTTCTAAATGGTTATTCTGATTACTTTAGATACACTGAGAAGGTAAAGTCACTAGATTGATGATATGAGAGGTATGAAAGAGATTTCTAATGGATGACTTCAAGATTTCGACCTTGAGCAACTGAGAAGGTAAAGTTTCCGTTAACAACATAAGAAAGACTGCATAGGAGTAAAGATCCAGAGATTTTAGGTTTTGGATATCTATTAAATATCCAAAAGGAAATAATCATGCATATTAATTTGTCAGCCTAAAGTCTGGGGAGCGTATGTAGGCTAGATACATAAATGTTGAGAGTTGTCAGTGTACAAGTAGTGAGTAAAGCCATGAGTGAAAGGAGTGAACACAGACAGAGGAAATGTAGAAGAAAAGACCACTAGGATACACAATAATTTTTAAAGTCACCAGAGAGATGAGAAGGGATCAGAACTCACTGAGTATTCACATATTTAATTTCCATTGACACCTTATAAATTATTATTCCTATTTTATAGTTGAGGTAGCTGAAACAGATTTAACAATTGTCCAGGGATTTTATACATAAAAAGTTCTAAATCAGCAGGGTTCAAACACAGGCAATCTGGCTTCAAAACAAAAAAAGCCTCAAACTGTATGTAAGACTTTTGATTGTATCCTGGTTGTTACACTTTAAAAATATTTTAGGAGGTGCTCAATAAATGTTAATTATCATTATCATCATCATTATTTTAAGAATGTATGCAATAATTGTTCCACTAAATTATAGTCATAGTCAGAAATGTCACATTCTATTTTCCCAGCCTGAGCCACAAGGGCACCAAGTGAGTAAATGACGTTTTTTCTCTTAAATCTAAATACTACTTTTCTTTCCCCGTTTTCATTAGCAGTCAACTAAACCAATTATTCCGAGGGCAAAAGAAAATACTGTATATATGTATGTATGCATGTACATGTGTGTGTGTGTGTATCTTAATCGTTATTTGACTCAGAGCATAAAGTCTCTAAGTATGTCATCTTAAACCATCAATTTTGAAAACAAACTGATGTAGTTTCATAGTATAAGAAACTGATCTAGGCCAGGTGCGGTGGCTCACACCTGTAATCCCAACACTTTGGGAGGCCAAGGCGGCAGATCACTTGATGTCAGGAGTTTGAGACCAGCCTGGCCAACATGGTGAAATCCCCACCTCTACTTAAAGTACAAAAATTAGCCTGTTGTGGTGGCGGCACATCTGTAATCCCAGCTACTCAGGAGGCTGAGGCATGAGAATCGCTTGAGCCCAGGAGGCGGAGGTTGTAGTGAGTCGACTGTGCAACTGCACTCCAGTCTGAGCAAGAGAGCAAGACTCCGCCTCAAAATAAATAAATAAAAAACAGAGAAACACATTTAGCTACATTCTAGCTTTACCTGTCTAGAACTTTCTATGATGATGGATATGCTCTATGATAATGCCATATATCTGTGCTGTCCAATACAGCACTCACAAGCCATCTGTAGCTACTGAGCACTTGAAATGCAGCTAGTATGACTGGGTAACTAGATTTTTAATTTAATTTAATTAATTCAGATAGCTACATATGGCTAATGGCTACCATAGTTAGATAATATAACTTTGGATTAAGACCCAGTTTTCAGGGCAACAGAACCACTGATATTTGCTTGCAGCTATAAAATAAACCTAATATGCAAAAGCAAAAGTACAAAATGAGGTGAGCATCAAAACACTGACATGCTTAACAATTATTGTCCCTTTTCTCCCACCAGTCCCCACTCTTTTTTAGGGTTACTGGGTTGATTGGTTGGTTTTTAATTACTGCCACCGTTTTCTGAACACTACGTGCTAAGTTAATTTAAAAGCCATCTCTCTGTTCCCTGCCCAACACACACACAGAATCCTCTGAGAAGCCAAATTACAGAATGAATATACAAGACCCGTCTTATTTCCTGTCTCAAATTCCGCCTCTTGGAATCCTGGACTGACAGGTGGCTCTTTCGAGATCGTAGCCCTCCTGGGACACCTTCCCCATGCGGCTCTAAGGACACAGGGCGCCAGGGGCATGGAAGGCGCGGTTTTGGATTTCGTGGAGTAACGGTAAAGTCACCCTCATAAGTGAATGTGTAGGTGTGTTCAGATGAGGAAAGGAACCCGGCAGCAGCCATAAGGGAAGGATCTAGTGACCGCGTACGACACGACACGACACGACAGGAGGGAACAGATACCCAGGCAGGCCCCGAGTTACCTGCACATCCCCAGGGAAATAGAGAACGTGATGCTGGGGCGGCGGCTGCGGCTCCTCCTTCGCAGGGTCCCCGGGGAGGTCCTGCAGCTCCAGCCCCTCCCCGGCCGTCGCCAACAGGAGCAACTCGTTGCTGCGCTGAGGATCTGCTCCGGGCACAGTGGACAGCTGCAGGCACTGCCGGCGGCGCACCTCGGCCGACAGGGAGCATCGCGCGCCGCTGCTGCTGCCCGGGTTCATGGTTCTGGCCTGAGAGCAGCACCAGGCGTTTCCGATTCCGAGCTGCGGCAGCAGGAGCAGCAGCGGCGGCGACCGCAGGAGCCTGAACCCCCACATGGATCGCTGCCGCGAGAGCGGTTCGGAGGTGGAGGGTGGCGGGAGGGGGCTTCTAAGGGAGGGACTTCAGCACGCGGCCCAACGGTCGGCGGCCGCAGCCCCGCCGGGAGCCGGCGCTGGGGCGACGACGTCAGAGGCTGACGTCAGCGCGCAGCGTGCGTAAGGAAAGGAAGGGAGGGGTGTGCGCGCAATCGGGTTTGGGTTCCCGTAGGGAACGATGGGAGTGGCTTGAGGAAGGACGTTTGTGATTGGCGGGTTCTGCCGCGACCGGGAAGTTCAAACGGAAGTCTGGGGAAGAGCCGGCAAAGTGCCAAGACTGGAAGAACCGAGTACTACCAGCTGCAGCTAGCGACGGTTGCGGCGCATGCGCAGCAGCCCGAGTGGCTGCAGCTGGCCGTTCAATAATCTGTAATGTATAGACTTCTGCGTATACCAAGCTCCCCGTTTCTGTAGGTTCACTTGAGATTTATCTGGTTTTTCAGGACTTAAAAGGGAGACAGTCTCAAATATGTGAGTAATTCTGTTCGTGAGAAGTCTTCTACATTCCCTGGAAGAAGGGAATCTCTCTCCTCAAACCTTGAGTTTCTTAAGTAGAATTATTGTAGATACACGAAGATCGCTATGTTCATGGGGAATTTGTGGTTATTTATAAAGCTAATTCACCTCTGCTTCGTAGCGAGAAACAGGGCACATGGTCAAGGACAGGAAAAAACAGGGCGAAGCACTATGCATTACTTGGTGTTCTGCAACTGATGAGATTTGCTTTTTGGAGGTTTTCAAAAACTAATTTAAACAGTGTAGGAAAGTCGTGTTTGTCCATCAACGGTCTGTGTCCAGTTGAGTAGGAATAAGATTTGACGAAGTGTATGCTCACGCCTGTAATCCCAGCGCTGTGGGAAGCCGAGGCAGAAGGTCACTTGAGTCCAGCAGTTTGAAACCAGCATGGGTAACATAGGGAAGCCTTGTCTCTACTAAATTTTTTTGTTTTTAATTAGTCATTCATGGTGGTACGTGCCTGTAGTCCAAGCTACTGGGAAGGCTGAGGTGGGAGATTGGATCGCTTGAGCCCAGGAGTTGTATGCTGAGATGAGTTGCGATCTCACCACTGCACTCCAGCCTGGGCAACAAAAGCAGACTCTGTCTCAAAAAATAAACTAAAAACAAACAAACAAAACAGGAAAATGTGTACATGCGAGGATGACATCCAAGTACTTGCGAGACAAAGCACTGTAAAGAACCTTTGGGAGAGAATGTTAAAGAGAATTACAAAAACTACAGCCAATATTTATTGAGGGTTTACTATCGGCCAGAAATCTAAGCACTTTATATATAATTGTTCTGAGTGTATATATGTGTATTTAAGCACACATACTGTTTTATTTGGTCTACATATGCAAATATTAACAAATGTCTTGGAGAAGGAACATAAATGAGCAAGTTGTGTGTGTATATACATACATACACAGTGACAGTATGCTAACCTACTGTGGTATAAATTATTGCATTCCATCTGACATCAAAATATTATTATCAACCAAAAATTATTCAATTAATTACTAAGGAGATCTGCTTTCTAAAATAACTGGTTAAAAACAAGTAGAGATTAATTACACAACAATGAGTATATAATGACATTTAGGCAACCAGACTTCACTGTTTTGTCAATTGCATGCATGTTACTTACCATTGTTAAATACAGGATTGCTGAAATGTAATCTAAAAGTCCAAACATGTACATGAATTGCAAATACAGCTTTTGATTTGTGGTCTTGTTTTTAGCTTGAATTTTTAATGAAACCTTTTTTTTTTTTTTTTTTTGTGACAAGGTCTCACTTTGTCACCCGGGCTGGAGTTCAGTGGCACAATCTTGGCTCACTACAATCTCCACCTCCTGGGTTCAAGCAGTTCTCCTCCCTCAGCCTCCTGTAGCTGAGATCACAGGTGTGTGCCACCATGTCTAGCTAATTTCTGTATTTTTTTAGTAGAGATGGGGTTTCTCCATGTTGACCAGGCTGGTCTCGGACTCCTGATCTCAGGTGATCCATACACCTTGTCCTCCCGAAGTGCTGGGATTACAGGCAGGAGTCACTGCCCCCAGCCTTAATGAAATCTATTCTTATTGAAGGGGATGGAGAATGTGTTTTAGAAGAAAATTGTAGCAAATATTAAATACTACAAAGTTGTCTCAGTATCTCTAAGATATTTAAGGTCTTTGAGAAATACAAGTAAAAATTTAAAGGGTAGAGTACAGAAACAGACTAAAGTAAGCACAAATGTTTCCCTACAATCAAGAGATTTGTACAGCTTTATAGGAGACACTTCCAGAGAAAGTAACCACTCTCAATTTATTAGCTGAGGTATGTATGTCATTTATGGTAAGTCACTGATGCCGCAATTCCTTCTCAGGGGTCCCCTTGATATTACCATAGTATTTTCTGTCTCCATCCCTCTGTCTTCTGCTAGGAGACCAATTTCATAAATCACTGCTTTTCTAACAATCACTGGCACAGATGGCCAAGCATTCTCCCTTTTTAATTCTCTCTCAGAGCTGGTTTTCCATCCTAGAATGAGATCTTACATATCCAAAGTTACTCTAATCTGTTGTGTGAGTTTTCTCTTCTCTAACTCATAGGGTTCTGCACAGGGATTTTATTAATTCTTAATAGTGTCCAAAAAGCTATAGCTCACCTCTGGACCCTTGAGAGTTCTCAAGGGATCCTGCTGAGCTCTCAGACCTTTTTAATGCTATTCAATATAATAGAAAAGTTGCAAAACTGGAAGGAATCTGAGAAAGGCTAATTTACTTTGGAAAGGACAGCATCAAAAAGCACCAACTCCAATATCTACAGGGGCCAGGTCTACATTATAAATAGTAAAATTGGCTATAAGTAAACAATAGGGAGTGTAAACACTGGCAAACTACAGAGACGTCATATTTGAAGAAGGCAGTCACTATTCACTACTATGCAGTTGTAAAATGAAGGCAACATTTTCCTAAATCTTCAAATTTTTAAGAGATTTCTCAACACAAATCAAAAATACAGATTTTTATGTTTCATTTGCCAACTTGTAAATGTTGACAACTAATTAAATTTACTTGTAAAACACTATTAAATTAAATGCATGTATTTGGCTTATGGGCCACAAATGTACAACTTCTCTACTAGTAGAGGTGAAATGAATGAATATAAGAAGGCAGGAGTTGGCGGGGGGTGGAAAGACAAAACAAAAAGACTGGGTGTGGTGGCTCACTCCTCTAATCCCAGCACTCTGGGAAGCTGAGGCAGGTGGATCACTTGATGTCAGGAGTTCAAGACCAGCCTGACCAAGATGGTGAAGCCCGGTCTCTACTAAAAATACAAAAATTAGCCGGGCAAGGTGGTGGGCACCTGTAATCCCAGAAATTCCAGAGGCTGAGGCAAGAGAATCACTTGAATACGGGTGGCGGAGGTTGCAGTGAGTGGAGATCACACCACTGCACTCCATCCTGGGCAAAACAGTGAGACTCTGTCTTCTTATGGGCCACAAATGTACAACTGCAAAAGAAAAAAACCCTTAATGGTGCTTTTTTGTGAGAAATTGAGAGGGGGAAAAAAAGGGGAAAAAGATTTTTTTTTTTTTTTTTTGAGATGGAATCTGTCTCGCTCTGTAGCCCAGGCTGGAGTGCAGTGGCGCAATCTTGGCTCACTGCAACCTCAGCCTCCTGGGTCCTGGTTCAAGCAATTCTCTTACCTCAGCCTCCCAAGTAGCTGGGATTACAGGCACAAGCCACCAATGCCCAGCTAATTAGTAGATATGGGGTTTCATCATGTTGGCCAGTCTGGTCTTGAATTCCTGACCTCATGATCTGCCCACCTCAGCCTCCCAAAGTGCTGGGATTACAGGCGTGAGCCACTGTGCCCGGCCAGGGAAAAGATTTTAAGAAGTTCTGTGAGATTTTAATTGGATCACATTTGATGTTCTTTAAGAGTTAAAAAAAAAGGTTTTAAAAAATTATTCTTGGTTTTGAACAGGTTTTTTTGTGTGTGTGTTTTAGTTTTTTAATAAGCTTCTGTGCCAAAACTGGGCCTTGGGAGGAACAGACTTCATGTGAAGTATGCCACTCTGGCATATAATTTTGTTCCCAAAATGCTTGATAAAACAAAAATTAGAGAATAGAACCATTTGGGGATTTGAAAGCTTATTCTTTGGCTAGTTTCACTAGCTAAGTGACACCATGAACACTGTTCTTGTAGTATGTAATTTACTAAACATATGCTTCCTCAAAATGCAAATCACTACCTGTCAAGACCTTATAGATTATCTTTAATATCAGTGAATTATTAATTATCAGTGAATCCTCAAATGCAATAATTAGCTAACAGTACTTGAATATATTGTACTTTACCCACTGTTAAAGGGTTGAAAAAATTGAATCAATTCAAAATATAACAAATTCTTAACAAAATACTAACAAGCTGATATGGTTTGGCTCTGTGTCCTCACCTAAATCTCATCTCAAATTATAATCCCCATGTGTCAGGGGAGGGACCTGTAATCCCCACATCTTGAGGGAAGGAGGTGATTGGATCATGGGGGCTGTTTCTCCCATAGTGTACCTGTGATAGTGAGTGAGTTCTCCTGAGAGCTGATGATGGCTTTATAAGTGTTTGACAGTTCCTCCTTCACACACTTCTCTCACCCTGTGAAGCAGGTGCCTGCTTCCCCTTCCCCCATGATTATAAATTTCCTGAGCCCTCTCCAGCCACGCAGAACTACAAGTTAATTAAACCTCTTTCCTTTACAAATTACCCGGTCTTGGGTATTTCTTTATAGCAGCATGAGAATGGACTAATACACAACGCAAACCCAACAACATATGAAAAGAATTATACATCATAAAAATGTGGGATTTATCCCAGGAATGCAAAGCTGGTTTTTAACCTCTGAACATCTATTAACATTATATACCATATCAATAGAATAAAAAAACAAAAATGACATAGTCATCCTAATAGGCACAGAAAAAACATTTGATAAAATCTAACACTCTTTTATGATTAAAAACACTCAACAAGCTAGGAGTTTAAGGGAACTTCAACCTAATAAAGGGCATTACGAAAAACCCACAACTAACATACTTAATGATAAATGACTGTTTTTCCCCTAAGAATAGGAACAAGATAAAG